ACTCAATTTTGGAAAGATAAACACTTATTAACTATACTCTAACTTCATTCCTCTCGACCAATAGAGCCAAACGCGATGTTATTGCGACAATTAAGAAAGAAAGAAATTTTAGAAACTAAGAAATTTGAATCCTATGGTTGGGATCTCAAAAATTCCCTTGTTCTTTCTCTTAACATCCCCTGTAAAGAAATAGGCGAGAGAAAAATATTGGTCCGAAAGTCGGCTGAATCGAGAGAATCGAACCCGAGACCTTCGCTTGCCGGGCGACTGCTCTTCCAACCATAGGATTCAAATTCCTTAGTTTCTAAATTTCTTTCTTTTTAATTGTCGCAATAACATCGCGTTTGGCTTTATTGGTCGAGAGGAATGAAGTTAGTGAGTGTGGTTTTAAAATTAAAGAGCTGACTTATAAGTATTCTTATTACTTATTAACTATGTCTGATATAAATGGAGAAGAATGAATTATAGGCGTAGAAAAAATATGTGCTCCGATAGTAACGAATATTTTAAGTGAAAAGATAGCCAATGCGAAAGGTTCTGTGATTTATTTAGAAGCAATAAGAAATATTTTACAGTCATTTTTAAACAAAAATTTGGCTCAGAGAAAGAGATTATTTTTAATTGGAAATCTGTATTTATTTTTCGAATATGGCAAAACTGGATCTTAGAATAAAATAATTTAACTCTCTCAAAAATTTCATTATTTCAAATTCCTACATGGCAATAGAAATCAATGCTCATTTCTGCTTATGCTTTTCAAAAAATTTTATCTAACTCTAACTTGAATTCTAGTATGTGCGTTCCATGGTGATGAGTAGCCAACCATGCGAACAAATTTTTCGTTCAACAAGAAGCTTAACTTCTACTTTTTCCACAATAGTCAATTTAAGTTTAAATGATATTATGAATAGAATTAAAAAATTCAAATTTTACAAACTGTCAAAAATGATTTACCATAAAAGATCAGTGTTTTTTCCAAGAGAAGTATTTAGGTATTGGAAGTAATGAAAATTTAAGTGATATCCCAGATGATATAGAGATTGAAAACATTATGTCAGCTCTTGCAGAAGCTAAATCAGATCTTAATAAAGTTGGTATAAACAATATTCCTGAATTGTATTGGAAAAAATTAATTGTTTTCCAAAATTTTGGGCAGAAAATCTTGTGGAAGATATTGATTTAGATAATGACGATGACGATAATTTAATTTCAAATTTGGAATCAGAATTAGATGTTACAACACAAGTTGAGTCTGAAATTGAGTCAATGTTAGAAACAAGATTACAAACTGATTTGGTCTTTGAAACTCATAATTTTGATGATGATCAATTGGACAATGACCTTTGTTTAAAAGATTATGTTGATGATCCAGAATTATTAAGAAAAAAGATAAAATAGAAAAATCGTCGTTTGTAAAATTAGTTTAGCAAACCAGACAAAAATAGTTAAAAAAATCATCTCTTTGTTGCATTAAGCAATGATAGATTATTGCGTGTCAGACAAAAATCCCATGAGTTCTCATAATTTAATAAGTCATCAAATAGATACTAAAAATAACAATGCGGAGTTTGTAATAAATACTAAAATGTATTACGCTGTTTATTATGACACTGGATGATATATAGAGAGGGTCTTAGAAAATTAAATAATCAATTATTTAAAATAAAATTTCTGTCTCAGAATTTAAAAGTTTTTAAGTGGCCACGAAAAGACGATATTCACGAGGTTGAGAAGAGATACATATTTTATGGTCCTATTAATATGCAGGATGTTAACCCTTAACTATTTCTCAGTCTAATAGAAAACTAATAATAAAACAATTTAAAAAGTTTAAAAAAAAGTTTTAGTTACGTCAAAAACTAATGTTTAAGTATATCCACATAAAAGTTTTTTTTGTTTCGCAAATGTTTTACTATGTTACTATGTACAATATATTTAATAATACATATTCTGTTTGTGAAACTTTTGTATTCTGGTGTCGTATTTTTGTTTCTATATGTAATAAAGATTTTTATAAAATTGCGTTTTTTTCTTAAGCAGTAAAAATTTTAAATCGATGTTCTCGAAGATATTTGGAAAAATCTGAGATAATTTAGAAAAATTTGAGGTAATTTTAAATATTCTAAGGTAATCTTGGGCAATTTAAGGTAATATTTGTAATTTAAGTAATCTGAGGTAGTATTAGGTAATTCGAGGTATTATTAGGTAGCTAAGGTAGTAGTATTAGATAATCTGAGTAATTTAAAGATAATCCGTATCAAGGGTAATTTTCGTACACTATAATCACTAGTAACCAACCCCTCGAATAAATGATACTGAAGTCAATAAAAAAAACAATATGACAGATATAATAAACCAAAAGCATGGCCACAAATTGATGATAAAAATAAATCATTTAAAAAGAATCAAGAGGAGTCGATGAGAAATAGTGCCCAGCAAACACATATTATAACAGTTATATAACATTGGAGTCAAAAATTAAAATAACAGCGTTATATTTTTATTATATAATTGTTATGTATTATCTATTTATTATTGCTATATAACATACTAGCAAACGCATATATTATAACAGTTATATAACATTGAAACAAAAAAATTAATATAACAGCTGTTATATATTTATTACATAAATTTATATATCATCTGTTTGCCGTTGCTATATAATATATTAGTAAATACCTATTATAACAGTTATATAACATTAGAATAAAAAATTAAGATAACAGCTGTTACATAATATTTATTATATAAAATATATAACTCGTTTACTGTGTTGTTATATAATGTGTACGAAGAATAGTTATATGTTTCTTCATTTGCGTGTTTTGTGCAATGCTGCTAAATTTCGCGGTTTTTGTATACACACGGTCTTTTCGCGTGCTAAATGCATAATGTGGTGACAATGAAAAACCAATATTAAAGTAGCGCTGGTGTCGCAGTAATACGTGATCGCCCTCTCTAATAAAATATGATTTATGGTTGAATTATTGTTGGCGGGGAAAGCCGGCAAAAAAATATTGTGCTGTGCCTTCGTGTTGCAAAAGATTCACTTTCTTTACATAAACCAAAGACTGTAAGTATATTTAAAGTACTTATTATAAGACTGTTATATATTTTATATAACTGCGATGTTCGTCATTCCTCTAATATGCTTTTTCTTACAGAGATTAAAACTCTCTCCATTGAAAGATTTGATCGCCACATCTCGAGAGACCCTGAGCTATTGCTATTTGATCGTAATTCGTTTATCGTAAGTACACAATTATTGTGGATGAGCTGTGGAATGCTGGATATATATTAAGAAGAAGCCGGAAAGTGTAATATTATTAAACAACACAATTATTAATATTGCAAAATTTTTAGGTTATATAGCGATATAGCCATAAAAAATATTGTAATCTGTACGCTATATATATATATATATATATATATATATTGTATATATGTTTTATTTCATAATTATTATTTGCATATTATGTTCTTTATTAATATTATATATACTTAATAGATTCAATCAGTAAATAATATTTTATTCATCATTAGACATTTGTGAAGTGTCATCGAAGCATCAATTTTTATGGTTTTCATTATTTTATCATATATTTTACAATAAGTCATTGTCAATAAGTGTATTAATTTTTTAAAACTGCTCTTAAGATATTTTGCATATACAGTTTATATATATATATCGCATATTTTATTAATTTTTAATATGCTATTGCCATATATCTATTCGCTTTGTTTCAGATTAATTTGATTATTTGTATGTAAAGTTTACTTGTATTTTATTAATATTTGCATATGATTTTGTATCTTATATAGTAACTAAGATTTATTAATATTCAAATATTTTATTATTTTTTTCTAACTACTATAACTTAATTTTATAAATTTGTTCTAATTTAAATAATCGATCAAATTATCAACATGCAAAAACATATCACCATTTATCAAAAAGACGTAAAAATCAATTGATTTCATGTCATATGTCACAATTACATAAAATTACAACTACAAACATCAAATGTTTCCAAAAAAACATTAAAATTAATTTGCTAATATAGAAATGGCTGTAATTCTAACTCAGAGAATACATTTTAAATGAAACTAATACTCTTCTCAGTGATAACATTTTTGATGCATCCATAATATCCTTAATCCATCAATGAATAATAGTTTTTCAGCATCTAATAGTTTTGACATTCTATTGCATCAGATCAAGATAGTTCTCATGTCTAATTTTTCTTCCAAATCAATTGATTTTAATAATGAAATCTCGGTACAAAATGTACAAAACTTAAGTTTACAAGAAGATTTGCAAATCTTAGTTTCAAAGCATTGTATTCCTCAAGGTACTGTAGATAAACTTCTTTTTATTTTGCGGAAACATGGTCATCAAGAGACACGGTAGTGTCTCGCGACCAGTTAAGGGCGTAGCGGAGACACCGTGTATCTTAACGCGAGTCGGACATTTGAGTCTTTATAATATTTCGAATCCTCAATAATGGCTGAAGCAATCGAGTTTATACTAGACTTAATCGATAGATTGAGTTCGAATTATATAATAAAAGTGTCTTTATTTCTGCTCTACGTCATTTGTAAGCAGAGATATATAAATGCAAAGTCAAAATATGAAAAATTTCTATTAAGAAACGTCCCCGTCATCATTATCATCATTATCATCATTATCATCATCATTATCATCATCGACCACGCATACATAGTAGTATCGTGCTACACGTATTCACACGTATACAACACATGCGCAACATATATCACACGTACACAACACATGCAAGATGCATGTAGTGGTAATTTTGTCCATCTCGCACGTTTTACAACAGATGGCGATAGTGGCGCTCCGCCATATCGGCAGCGTGCGGGGTTATGTTGGCTAACTCTCTCTCTCGCTCTCTCTCTCTCTCTCTCTCTCTCTCTCTCTCTCTCTCTCTCTCTCTTTCTCACACACACACGCACACACACACACATCTCTCATTCTCACTCACTCACTCACTGTTCGTCTTGTGTACTTATTTAGTACATTCATGATCGGCAGCGTGCGGGGTTATGTTGGCTAACTCTCTCTCTCTCTCTCTCTCTCTCTCTCTCTCTCTCTCTCTCTTTCTCACACACACACGCACACACACACACTCTCTCTCATTCTCACTCACTCACTCACTGTTCGTCTTGTGTACTTATTTAGTACATTCATGATTAAACATCTATATGCATTAATGTGAAATTTACTTACAATTAGTTTACTTGAAATATTCAATCTCTAAAGTGTTTATCTTATAAGATAGACAAAAAAATCTGAGTAAATAATAAGAAAAAAAACAAGGATTATTATTGTCATAATTTTTTATCAATTAAGTACTCTCAACTATCCAATAATTAAATAAATACGTACAAATGTGCGCGCGTGTACACACATACACCTATTGATATTAAAGAGATTGAAGGAGAGGAAGAAGAAGATAAAAATTTAAATATTCACATATATTTTCAAATATTATATATGAATTTATAGTTTACATATCTAATTAATAATGAATTTCTAATTATATTAAACATATCAAAATAAAGACATACATGTATTTATCAAATGAATAAAATTATTGAATACAGACTTAAAAAATTTATTAAACATAGACTTAAAAAATTAATTAATTAAACATATTCCAAATTTAGAAAAAATAAACTTTATTTATATATGCAACAGCTTTTTAAACTAAATTTTTAAATTCTATTTTATATTAGACAATTATCTCAATCAACATCTACGTCCACATTAGCTGCACTGCAGACTACCTCTACAGCCACATTATCTGCTCCGCGGATATAGCGTTATGCCAATACGATACATTACATGTACTTACTTACTTGCCTTTACTGTACCAACTCTTGTTCTTTCCACGTAATCATGTTTTTACAGTTATCGTTTGCTGTATATCTTCCAGCAAACTTTATTTCGTGTGAAGTGTATTTAATTAATTAAATCTCTGCGAAAGATTGAGAAGATGAAGGGATAATTCAAACTATGAAGACATGGTTACATGGAAAAGACAAGAGTTGATACAATAATAAAGACATACATGTATTTGTATCCTGCTGGCATAAGGTTATAGAAGTTGATTGAGATTGAAAAATAATAATGAAAATAATAAAAAAAATAAAGACACATGTATTTGTATCGTGCTGGCATAAAGTTATAAAAGTTGATTGAGATTGAAAAATAATAATAAAAATAATTAAAAAAAGGAAATATTCAATCATCATTTAAAAGCATATTTGAAATCTGTAGAATAAACAGTTTTTGCAAAAAATGTGGAGCATTTGAGCTCTAGTAAGTCTAAAAATAAATGTAAACATCAATTAATAATAACTGATGTTATATATATATTATATATATAAACCAATTTGTTGCAATATTCACTATAAAAGGTTGTAAGGGTAAGATGGCTAAAAGTGAATAATTTAAAAGATAGTTAACATAATTTTACATAAACTGAAATATTTCATAAAATAAAATATTTGTAATATTTCGAAGTTTATGTAAGATTATGTAAAAATTATACCTTTACAACTTTTTATAGTAAATATTGCGAGGAATCGATTTATATGAGAAAAATTAAGGTAATTCTATTTTGAAAATATAAGTGACCTTTAAATAACCTTGAAAATCGCCGTTTAGGAAAAAGTCTGTGTCAACTTTTTTTTTTCGAAATCCTGCAACTTTTATCTAAATTTAATAGAAAATGTATAAAAAATGCTCGACATTAGTACACACACACACACACACACACACACACATATGGGTAAATTTATATAAATAGGGTGCTTTAGGAGGAATGATCAGGATTCTAGGGATTATTATGATATTATGATTAATATTATATATACTTTGATTATCAGTAAACATCATTTTAAGCAAAGAAGTTTAGATAAACATGTTTAATAATTGTTCTATTCCGGTCATAAAAATATACAAAAATGAATGATATAATCTCTAAAAACTCACCTTTAAAAAAAGGTAAAAAAAGGCGACCAGTTAAGGGCACGCCATTAACAAAAATTATCCATTGCAAACCCATGTAGAATCCTATCCTATTGCAAACCCATGTAGAATCCTATGAAAAATTAATCATTGCAAACCCATGTAGAATCCTAGGCAAAATTAACCATTGCAAACCCATGTAGAATCGTACCCATTGCAAACCTATGTAGAATCCTATGAAAAATTAACCATTGCAAACTCATGTAGAATCCTATGAAAAATTAACCATTGCAAACCCATGTAGAATTGTATTAAAAATTATCCATTGCAAACTTATGTAGAATCCTACATTGCAAACCCATGTACAATAGAATTGTATGAAAAATTATCGATTATAAACCCATGTACAATCGTAACAAAAGTAATGAAATAAAAAAAAATTGCGCCAAGTGAAAGTAGAAACTTGTACCAGTGGAAAATTAAAGTTGCAGACATATATAGAGTCGTATAATGAATCAGTAAAAATTTAAATTTGCAAATGTAGAATCGTACCATAAAAAAACTTATCTTTTAAAAAAAAAGATAAACAAGATGCCAAGTCCATGCGCCATGTGAAAAAGAAATAAAAAAATTTTAGTTAAAAAACTGGGCGCGCTGCTAAGTTTCAAAATTACAATGCACCTTAAAGTAACATTAATTAATTTAAACACAAAACATATTTTAACTGTAATGAGTTTAAAAGTAACAATTTAATTTTAATATTGTTAGAATATTATTTAGCAGCGCTCCCAGTTTTTTTAACTAAAATTTTTTTATTTTTTTTCACATGGCGCATGGACTTGGCATCTTGTTTATCTTTTTTTTTAAAAGATAAGTTTTTTATGGTACGATTCTACATTTGCAAATTTAAATTTTTACTGATTCATTATACGACTCTATATATGTCTGCAACTTTAATTTTCCACTGGTACAAGTTTCTACTTTCACTTGGCGCAATTTTTTTTTATTTCATTACTTTTGTTACGATTGTACATGGGTTTATAATCGATAATTTTTCATACAATTCTATTGTACATGGGTTTGCAATGTAGGATTCTACATAAGTTTGCAATGGATAATTTTTAATACAATTCTACATGGGTTTGCAATGGTTAATTTTTCATAGGATTCTACATGAGTTTGCAATGGTTAATTTTTCATAGGATTCTACATAGGTTTGCAATGGGTACGATTCTACATGGGTTTGCAATGGTTAATTTTGCCTAGGATTCTACATGGGTTTGCAATGATTAATTTTTCATAGGATTCTACATGGGTTTGCAATAGGATAGGATTCTACATGGGTTTGCAATGGATAATTTTTGTTAATGGCGTGCCCTTAACTGGTCGCCTTTTTTTACCTTTTTTAAAGGTGAGTTTTTAGAGATTATAATGATTTACCTGAAACGTGTAGAACTTTAATGAAAACACCACGTAATACTTTTCAAAATATATCTGCTGTTAGTGGTGGAAGATACATTCATTTTGGATTAGCTTCGGGAATAAAATACTCTATATCAAAATATTGTAAAATTATGCCTCGTGAAATAAAAATAAATATTAATATCGATGGTCTACCTTTAAGTAAAAGTTCAAGTAGCCAGTTTTGGCCTATTCTCGCATCAATTGAAATTAAAGATCTTTATACCGAGCCTTTTGCAGTTGGGGTATTTCACGGAATGTCCAAACCGAATAATGTAAATGATTTTCTTCATCCTTTTGTTAATGAAGCACAAATTGTTTTTCGAGATGGTATATTATTAGATAATAATTTCTATTGTAAAATCATATTGAATGCAATTTTATGCGATGCTCCTGCAAAATCATTAATCACATGTACCAAAGGTCACACAGGTTATTTTTCATGTTCAAAATGTTTTCAAGAAGGTGATTTTGTATGTAATCGAGTTGTCTTTCCGGAAATTAATTGCACACTAAGAACAAATGAATCATTTCGTACTCGTAGTCAAGAGGAGCATCATATAGGTGATTCAATTTTAGAAAATCTCCCTATAGATATGATTTCACAAATTCCTTTAGATTACATGCACCTTGTTTGTTTAGGATCGAGGCGTTTATTACAATTTTATGTCAGGGGTAAGAAAGGTGTAAGATTATCCAAAGTTGCAATTGATTCTATTAATAAACATCTACTTGACACAAGAAAATTTATAACTAAAGAATTTGCGAGAATGCCAAAAAGTTTAATATGTATTGATAGTTGGAAAGCTACGGAAGTTCGCCTTTTTTTACTTTATTTGGGTTTAGTTTTGTTAAAGCCATTTTTGTCTAAAGACTATTATAATCATTTTTTATCACTAAGTATAGCTATTCGTATATTTGCAGATCCAAAAAAATGTTTAGTTCTTAACGATTTCGCACATTCCTTGATAACCTGGTTTATTTCAAACTATAGAAATGCTTTTGGACTGGAATATCTTTCACATAATATTCATAATTTAGAACATCTTGCAAATGATGTCAAAACTTTGGGATGTTTAGATGCTTTTAGTTGTTTTAAATTTGAGAATCACATGCAAAAAATTAAAAAGCGAATAAAAAATTGTGGCAAACCATTAGAGGAATATTCTAATCGAATTTTCGAATTAAATCAACTTCCAGTAGAAAAATCATATTTAAAGTCATATCCTATTATTCATTTTAAAAAGACAATTCAAAACACTAATGATATATCTCATTTAGAGTTCAATGGCTTCAATATTTTTACAAAAGAAAATGAAAACTGTTGTTTGTTGAACGATAATTCTTTGGCATTTATTTTAGAAGTAATTTTAGATAGTAATGATGTTCCATACATAAATGTAAAGCGAATTTTATATACCGAACCATTTTTTAACACTCCATGTGATTCTAAAGAACTACTGGGTATACAAACTTTTTTGGAAACAAGTCCTTTTAACATAGAAAAATTGCCGGCAACAAACATAAAAACAAAATGTTTGAAATTAAAACATCTTGAGTTGCAAAACACATTTGTTATAATTCCACTTTTGCATGCATGTACCTAATTATTCTTATTTTGATTTTTTCTTTTAAAGAATTATTCTCATCTTGCAGTAATTTTATGTTTTTTTTAACAGCTTTATCATTACCAAGATTAAATACTTTAGTGTTTTTTTTTAAAGAATGATGAGATAATACTGCAGGTTTTTTATGACTATTTTGATTTTCATATATTGCTATGTATGGTTGGTTTTAGCTTTAAGTTGTTTAAAATATTAAATAAATACTTTGATATTACCTATAATTAAGATTATTTTGTACCACGCCTTTTTTCACGGACAATACTTTCGTTTTATAACAAACTTTATATTCTACAAAGAATAATAGCTATGTACATATATACATACACACATATATTAGTATAGAATCTATAGTGTCAAACTCACACACATCCTCGATACCCATCGTTCTACCTGAACATTACGGGTGGTGTGCGAATTATAAGACACTCTGTATTCTGCATATATATTTTTTTCAGAGAAAATGTCCGAAACAAAATTGTACGCAATTGTACAATTTTTAGCTGATGAATCTTTCTCAGAGATTCCAACAAATTGGATTCAACGAAATAATGATGGCTTTATTTGTTGGTGGCCTAACACAAAGAATATCAGTTCGCTTATTAAAAATCGAGATGAACCGGATAAAAAATTATGGTCAAGATTTGATATAACGGTGATAAAATATTGTTGTAAGTAATAATTTTATGAACACTATTTTAATTATATTTTCATTATTTTAATTTTTTTAACGTGTAAATGCATATTTTATTTATATTTTGTGTCAAAAATTAATTTATTATAATTACTATATGCATATTATTACGGATGTTATTGTTATTGTTATTATATTTATATGTACATATGTATTTATTATTATTATTATTTGGGTAGCGTCACTTGCATCTGCCGCAAATCAGCTGCAGATGCTCAGTATGGTACGACTGATGAAGAAAAATGTGGCCGAGGACAAAGAAAATTAAAGAAAAATGAATATTATTTTTCTGAGAACGATGAAAATGATTATACTGACGATTCGAATGATGAAGAAAGAAACGCGTGTGATGATGATGAAGAAAATTACGATAACGAAAAAAACAAATCGGTTAAACACTTGAAACAGAGTAAATTTTAACATTTACTTTGAATTAAATTTTTTTATATAATTGCTGAATATTTGAGATGCTTATTTATTTTTGTTTGTTATTTTCTTATTATTTTATTTTGTTTGCAGATATTAATCGATCTGTTTTTAATTCTATTCCTGAATACAATTCTCAGCAAAAAGATAATTGTTGCCAATCTATCAATACTTCCAGTACTGATAAAAATTCAAATTGTTTTGTTTCCAAAAATACTGATAATGAAATTTCAGTATCACGCACAAGTAAGTTTATATATCTTACAATTTCTATGAATATAATAAAATGTAAATATTAAATAACCAACAATTGTAATCTGTAGATAACAACAAATGCAGTTCTAATGAAAAAACAAAAAAAATTACATATTCTGATAAGTCCGCATCACCCTCTGGTATAATGGATATTGAGAGTATTCCTATCTTAGAACTTCCAGAAATACAAGATATTTATAAAATTCTAGAACGGATAGAAAGTAAGTTATGACAAATTATATCTGCAACGTATTATATGTACAATATTTTAAGAATTTATTAAATATTTAATACTCATATATTTAATACTCTAATATACTTAATATTTAATACTAACACTGTGCGTGTGTGTCAATTATATGGATGATGTTTGCAATTATAAAAATATACAGAAATATATATACATATATATATATATATTATATATATGTGCACGCTATACGTTTCTTTTTAATTGTAGCAGGTTTAGATAAAGTTATACGTGCAAACGTTGCTACCAATTTCGAGCTAAAAAGTATCTCGAGAAGATTAAGTACATTGGAGTCTGGTCAACGTAATGATGCAGAATTGACAGAAAATGATATGGTAATGATAATGCCCTTATTGCCACTACAAACAGTCGAATCTATAAAAGAATTCGAAAATTTAATTATATCAAACGAAATTGCTGCATCGCAATTTGTAAGTTATTTTTATTTGCAATTATTTCTACATCTGTATAGAGATCTATCTATACCATTTACTATATCATTTCCATCTATATCATTTCTATACTAAAAAGGTTCCATATAGAAAAATGAATAAGTTGAATTATATAGAACATTAAAGTGAATGCAATTACCCATTGAATAAGAATCGTTAATTTTTTAAAAGAAATAGTAAAGAGAATTAATTCATATGTATTATGTAGAACTTTTCATTTTTTTAAATATAGAATTATTTTTATAACCTTTTTTATATGCAGTTTTTATACATTTTTCAATAAACATTATTAACTACTTTCTTTTTCTGAATTTATAGTATAGTTGATATATGATATTATCTCTATATTATATATTATTTACATAAATTTATTGTTAATTTCAGAAAAAATTGATCCTAAAAGTTGGAGGCACCACTCCACGAAATAGCGTTCATCGTACTTTAGAACGAATAATCAGCAATAAATGCGCAATAAATTGTTCCTGGAAAGGCGTTCGATTAAATTATAAAATAAGCAATTTAACATTTATTAAGAATATACGTGGTAAATATTTGAAAATTATATTTAACTACTTTTTAAAATTCTTTTTCAATTCTTTTTAGATTACACAAACGTACATTTTTTTTATTAGATACTATTTAATTATTAAATATAATTTTCCTTTCATATACATGCGTATATGAAATTGTGTCAGTATATTAATTAAATTTTAACTTATTTTACAGATATTATATGCTCTGTACATTCAGGTTTAACTGAATCCGAATTCGATATAACTGCTGCGGAATGGTTCAGGTTTGCAAAGCAACGAGCAATACGGAAAAAAAAAAAATCTATAATACATAGTGCTATTTACATTTAATATACTCACACACGTTAAACACACGTTAAATTGCTTTAGTTTAAAAATTCATTTATATATCTTAATTATTTGTGATATCATAAATATGTTTTTGTTTCGTTATTTTCTTATAATATATATATATAGAAAGTTTACATATATATGTTATATATTTTCATTCAGAAATTTTATTTATATTTTATATAGTTTATATACGTATATATAATTATATCATTTATGATAAGAATAAGTTTCTGTGGACGTATATTATAAGAGGATACATATAAAATTGAGTGATTTTAATAATAACCATATAATAATTAGAAAAATAATATATAATTTTAAGTTTTATTATTTCGTTTACGAAAATTATAAAGTTATAATGTCTAAATAAAATTAATGATCTATATATATCATATATAAATAATAATCTTATAATCACTTTTAAAGCTTCAAAAACAATATAAAAAATTAAGTTTAATATATGTATTAATGCATTAAATTTAATAAAAATCAATTAAATGATATTTTTAATCTTTTATTAATACATAATCTTTTTATAATATTATTTTCAAAGCTTGAAAAGTGATTATGAGGAAAGATTGTTATAAAGATTATTTTACACACACACACACGCACGCACGCACGCGCACACACAGCACGCATCTCTCAAAAAGAAAATTGTAGTTGCTCAACAATTTAATAAATTTTTTGTTGTATAATATATTGTAATATAAACATATGTATATAGTGCACGATGTCAATATATTAGCTTTTCTGAAAAATTTGCATGTTTTAAAAATGTAAATTTATAAGTTTTATGTTGACATCGTGTCATTATGTTTATATTCATATTATTCAACAAAAAAATTTATACAAAATTATTGAGTTACTACGATTTTTTGTTGAGAGATGTGTGTTGTGTGTGTATGTGTATATAAATTTAATTGTAACAATTATATAAATTAATACATTAAGAACACATAACATACATTAAGTTGTTATATAAATATTACATATATATTCAAAAACATTTGAAAATTAGATGTAACATTAATATAACAATTATATAAATATTGAACCAGTAATCTTAATATGTTATATCTTAATTATAAATATTATAGTTATGTTCTTAATGTAACACATAATATTACATTATATAATTGTTACAATTAAATGTATAACTATTATATAACATTGTTGCTTCCATGAGTGGGAAATTACAAGGAATGAGAGTATTACATGTTGCAATCCTGTAATATTACTTGTTATATTTTGTTACACTGAGTTATGTAACCGTTATAATATAGTTATAAAATGTGTTTGCTGGGTGATAGATAAATACAGGTGTATAAGGATCTAAACTGTTTAAGAATACAAGGTCAGTTACGGTACCTAGTCAGAAGGTTAGCAATCCAAGAAACAAGGAAAGTCAAAATATTGAAGAAAGGAAGCAAATTATAAAGAGTATTATAAACATTAATAATAGAAGCGAGAATATAATTAAAGAAAAAGAGGAGTAGCTCTCCATCAGTATAATAGAAATGTAGAAGCAGAAAATGTCAATTATACCCGTCAATTATACATGTGGTGAATATAGACAAACCGGAATTTCAAACTGTAAAATTTAGTTCAAAAGAATTAACACAAATGATGGATAATCTAGAGTCCTCACAAGAATTTAAGAACCTGATAAGAAATTGTTTTCAAAACAATATTCGTCAAGGTCAATCTTATGAATCAGAGCAGAGAGAGTCAGAAAAAAAAGATATAATGGCCTAGTTTACATCAAACACTTGATACACGTATCAAATAGTAAATTACTAGTAAATTGGTTCAGTTATTAGCTGACCAGTTCAAATACACTAATTGATACGCGTATCAAGTGCTTGATGTAAACTAAGCCTATAATAGATAAAGATGAACTTAAAAATAGAGAGAAAAAATTTCAAGAGGATCTGAATAGAGCAAGAAATACAGTAGCTGATATTAAGAAGTATTGGAGTGATAGGGAAACATGAAGTTTTGTAGAATCTTATTATAGTTTTTTATTTTATTTATTTATTTATTTTTTCTCTTTTTAGTAATGTCTAATCTTTTACTTTGAAATGCTAGAGGTATTTCTAATAAAAAAGCGGAATTAGAACAACATATTAACAATTATGATATTAGTAATTATTGAAACAAAGATAGTCCCAAGTAAAATTATATATTTTTCTGGTTATAAAACAGTTAGAAATATGAATCAAGATAACTCTAGAGGTATTGCTATTATCATTAAAAATGAAATTGACTTTGATATTATTCAAACATGGGAGTTAAATTTTGTTAATATGGAAGTAATTGGCATTAGTATTAAAAACACATTGATCAAGTATATAATTTAATTGCTGTGTATAGAAAACTTTATGGAGTTGAATCACGTTCAGCGTAAGAGGATATTTTTAAATTTAAAAGTAATATAACTGATACATTAATAGTAGATGATTTTAATTCGCACCATAGTTCATGGAATTGCAGTAACATTGATAGAAATGGTGAAAATCTCTATGTTATATGTCCATGTATAATAGAGGATATATATGTATTAATAATGATATGAAATCAAGAATGAGTTATAACAATCAATTGGTGTCCAATTTAGACCTAATTTTCACTAATAATAAACTAATGGAAATTATAGATTGTATTTCGCGCCTCTTCCTCAAGATAACAAGCATTACTCCTCAATTCTATGCCGAAGGCGTCACAATCTTTAAAGCTAAAACTAAAAACTGCCCGCCATCTAGGTGTTACGTCCTTCCGTTCGGGCCCAACACGTCATTCTTTGTTTTTGTGCCGAGGTGGATACATCGCTATATCAATAATGGAAAAGAGAAAACATAGAAATTCGGATTCAGAAGATGAATCCAAGGAAAATAAGCTAGTCAGGAAGATGAAACGACTGATAAAGAATATGGAAAAACATAAAGATCGTAGGCGGAAGAGACGATCAAGTAAGTATAGAGTTATGTAGATAATATTGTAGATAGGTTCCTTTAGAAGAAAGAGAGAGAGAGAGAGAGAGAGAGGGAGAGGTATATATATATAGATATACTCATTAAAAAAGAAGATTGTAATAAAATATATTACGAGGGTCACTATTTATATTTCGGGAATAGGAACAAAAACAAATAGTTAAGCTGCGAATATATTTTATCCTAAAAAAATCATAAAAATGAAAAGGTCAGGCCATGTTCAAAAGAAGGTACTCAAAAATTTAAACGATCTAATAATAAATTATCACGAAAAGTAACTGATATGTTATTCAAGGTGCCAGTTCAAAGTGAACATACGTAAAGTGTATATTATCTAAATTTAGTAATAATATATTACCATGAAAAGTAACTGTGATATTTTATTCAAGGTGCAAGTTCACATTGAATATACAATACATACATATAAGTAAAACTGATTACAATTTGATTCTAGAAAATAAGTGCGATATGTTATTCTTAGTGCACAAAATATAATAGTCGTTTATAGAGATTTGATTTGAAATTCATACTAGCCCGTACAATGAAAAATAATTGCTCGTAATTCCAGAGTACCAATTTGTTAATGACTCAGAAAAATAACATGGCGGCCTGCTCTCAAAAAACTATGATGTTTCTCGATGTCCATTTAGAAATAATGTCGAAGCTCTTACAGAATAATTACTACAACATTTGAAATACGAAAAGTATTACATTAGAAGAAGATTAGATTAGAATAAGGATTCAACGTATTTTTAAAAGCTCTACACACACAACGAAGTGAATATACAAAACTATATACAAATACCTTTTTCTTCTGTGTTTCTGAAGAAAATTGTAAGTCAAATGAAACCTTGCACTTTGAGAACCATGTCACTTACTTTTCAGAGTCAAATTGATAAATTTTTTTTGTATATTTTAATGATATTTATTTCTCACTTGTATCTTGAATAATTAATATGTAATTTTTTATTGTATATTACGACAAATAATCAGTAAACTTTTTAAGCGTATAGCTTTATTGTAGTTGACCTGAGAACTGTACATTTATAAATTTTACTTAATATACACCCGTTTCGAGCAACAAGGCAAAGTTTTCTGATCAATAACTTACTCCCTGAAAATACGGTATAACACAAATCGGAAGTTGATACGAAAATTCGAAATTTTACTAAAGAAAGATTGGAGGTTTTTAATTTATACAATTTTCACAACTCTTATTTCAATTATTTATTCTACCCATCGAAAGTTTTTTGAGAGCAGGCCGCCATGTTATTTTTCTGAGTCATTAACAAATTGGTACTCTGGAATTACGAGCAATTATTTTTCATTGTACGGGCTAGTATGAATTTCAAATCAAATCTCTATAAACGACTATTATATTTTGTGCACTAAGAATAACATATCGCACTTATTTTCTAGAATCAAATTGTAATCAGTTTTACTTATATGTATGTATGTATATTCAATGTGAACTTGCACCTTGAATAAAATATCACAGTTACTTTTCATGGTAATATATTATTACTAAATTTAGATAATATACACTTTACGTATGTTCACTTTGAACTGGCACCTTGAATAACATATCAGTTACTTTTCGTGATAATTTATTATTAGATCGTTTAAATTTTTGAGTACCTTCTTTTGAACATGGCCTGACCTTTTCATTTTTATGATTTTTTAGGATATCACTTACTTTTTAAAGTACAGATATATAGAGCAGCTTTCTAGTAATTCAAGTATCACAAATATATGTATTTTCGATTCTTATCACATAACTTTGTATAAGTAACAATTTATGCAATACAGTTCAAAATAATTGAAATATATGGTATATATGTACATATATAAAATATATAATTATATTATAGTATACATATATATTTTATTTAATCATATATGTAAATGTTTGTATAATTGTAATAACTTTTAACGATACATTGCACATTTATTTCAATTGCAACAGAATGAATTTATATTCTTGTATGAATATTGAAAATAAAGAATGGGCCCCTCCATCGCCCATTCTCGTGAGAACGCAACCATATATTTTTCTTCGTCTCTCCGATTTTAACACGACATACATATTTC